GCCAGGTCTACCTGCCCGACGCGACACTCGAACGAACGTGATAACTTCTATCCAAGGTCGCAACGCTTCGTTGCTGCGACTTTTGTCTCTATGCGTGAGTCCAATGTGGTCCGCAAATGAGGTCCACTGCCATGGTTGAGCGTCATCTAGTGACTGGACAGAACATCCGAAATCCACTTCTACACTACTTCTCTGTATCGGCGACACAAATAAGATTGGAACCTCCCGACGGCCAAAAAGGGTCCACACTCACACACACGCACACTTGAAAGGGGTGGTTCGGTGGGAACCGGAGAGTCAGTGAGATGTCTGAACGCATTAGCCCTTTACTGAGGTGCTGAACGGGTGCAATGGCTGGTGAGCTTGTTCTAGTTTAAAACAAGGCCACAACGAAAGACGATCATAGCAGGTACGTCAGCCAGCGTCCTTGCTGATATCCTCAGGACACTGCACAGAGCTCAATCCTGCACCTCTACTCTTTCTGCAATAAAGTTTTCATCAGCCTTCGTGCCTCGTCGCCGTCCCCAAAGCATCGCACCTCCTCTCAATTTCCACTGTCCACAGTGCACTCCTCCCAAGCTGCCCAACGGCTCACTTTCGAAGAGCATGTTCTGCAGATTCTGCTTCCGTATACGGCGCGCTTTTTGCGCCTCATGCATGAATTGCACGAGACACCGCCCAAAGCGCAACAGGCAACAGTGTTTTCCGATAAAAATACAGTGCTGGCTATTTTCTCAGAAACCACTGTGTTTTCTTACATTCTCTCATGATACCTTACTATCCTAATATCTTCCCAGGGAAACAACATGATCTCATCAAACGTGTCCTCGTCCCTCTCTTTTTTTGGACTATCTAAAAACATGAAGCAAGTCATACCTATCATTGATTTTATAAGGCTGTATTTCTTTCAGTGTTTTTGGGGGTTGTTACTTCTTTGGGCTTTTTGAAAAAAATTACTCCCATCCTTCGCTACACCGTCGCTCCTTCGTCGTATGTCTCCGGCGAGATTAGCGGAGTAGGGCGAGATGGTCAGATACGTAGATACTGCTAGTTACGAATCATGTCACAAGGTAGTTACTAAGTGCAATACACTTGACTGGACAAAAAGGTCTCTGTCTTTTTTGTTCTTCTCTTCTCTTTCTCTTTCTTCTCTTTCCTTCTCCAACACCAGCGCCCCCCACGACATCACATTCTCACCGACCACCTAACCAACCAATAAACCAACGGACCAACCAACCAACAGCTACGTGTTGAAATAGTCCGGCCGGCGCAGTTTCTTTCTTCTTCTTTGCATTGAAAACTTGTTTTACGTGTATGTGGTCTGCTGCTGGGGGGGGGCTGCGCCCCCCCCCCCCCCCCCCCCCACACCTGCGCCCGCCATGAAATCACATTTTAAGGTGAGCCCCCTGTGGCAAAACTACCCACCATTCTCGGTCGCTCGACAACAACCACAAGCGCCTTCAGCAAAAGCCACAA